CTGTGGCATATATAAAAATGAATGATTTCATATGACAAGAGGAAAAGATCTAAGTGACTTTGAAAGAGATTTCATCGTTGGGACACAAATGACAGGAGCTTCAGTCACTGAGATTGCTCGGCTGGCTAATGTTTCAATAGGAACTGTGACTAAAGTGACATCTGCATTTTAATCTATGGGAGACATCAGTGTTTACAATATGTTGAATTATTAGGTGGGAAAGTTTGACACTTACAGATCAACATTTTTCTGCTGCACAGCAGCAATCTTCTTGCTTGGTGCTAAACCCCTCATCTTTCCCTCAACATAATGGTCCCTGTGGAGGAAAAAATTTGTGAGGATTATTACATAAAAAACTTAACTGGCATTTGTCCATATACTGTGCTGTCAAGAGTGATGTGTTTCAACTAACAGAACAAATAATAATACATTTATAGTCAACATTTAATTGACAAAGTACAAATTACATTGTTTTTAAAAGAAATTCTACCTATCAGGGATTAATTTTACCTGGTAACAGAGGTCTCATCATCATCTCTACCCTCTGTGTACAACAAGGCAAACTTACTGATTAGCCTTTTGAAGCTCTTTTTGTTTTGCAAGGTTGCTGTCCACATATTTGAGAACTCTGCTTTCAGGAACCCATTCATCCCAGCTGCAAAAGAAACACACCTCAAAACCTTGAAACTCCATCACAATGAAAATAATCGTAGTTTTTTTCACTCACTCATTCACGCGCGCGCGCGCACACACACACACACACACACACACACACACACACACACACACACACACACACACACACAATGAGCAGGGGATCTGGGGTGAGCACAAAAGGACAGAAAATCATATTGTATCCAAACCAAGCTGCTCACTTTTTGTTCCATCCGCTGTAATGAATGAAGTATTTAATCTGCTTATCCTTTATGCTGATCTTTACACACTGTAAAACAAGAAAACACACAGGCCTGCGTCAATCGTTGGCTGACGTTTGTTTTACAGTTAATATTTCACTCAAAACACGCATGCAGCACTGAAACACACCTTTGCCTCATACAGCAATGGCCCATGAAAGCACAGGACTCTTTCACCTGCGAGGAGGGAAAAACAAAAGTGAGGGCTTGGATGAAAAACACACCACGATACAATGCATAGCATAAATAACAGGCTAGCTAACCGTTAGCCTAGCGTTAACGTCTGATTTACACATTTAGCTTTACTCTAAGGTGCTACGCCTTTACATGTGTCAGTTTTGGGTGTGTTTAAATTAATGTTCTATGTTTATGTGCAGTTATAAAGGCTCTGTCCCCCTCCCTGGAGACCACTATTATCAAGCTACAGCAGCAGCAGCAACAACAACAACAAACCCGCCCCCTTCCAGGGATTCATCCGTTTTTCTGTACCAACCTTCTTGAAATTTAGGTTTAGGGTCCTGTTTTGGCGCCATTCACAGACTCAACTGGTCGGATGTCTGAATGATCAAATTCGTGCATTGCCAGAGCCCATTTCTTCCAGGCACAAACACCTCCGACATCGGAGCCAAAGCGAAGGAGAAGCAGAGACTGGCCTGCCTGCTGCTGCTGGGTCACCTGACCACGAAGCCTCCGAGGTGTGCTGCATTCAGGGGTTCCTCCTAAAACTCGTAAAAACAATCACTTCTTTTGTTTTATATTATATATGTATTATATATTTATATATATAAATATAAAACAAAAGATATACATATATATACACAAAAGAAGTGTTTGTACAAAAGAAGTGTTTGTGTGTTTGTTTGTTTATATATTGAGAACTCTGCTTTCAGGAACGGCCAAACTGCAATGCCCCAAATGGCTTGATAGGTGCCAGTGAACATCTAGACGGCCCTCTTGGCTGTGGTATGAGAAACCTTTCCAGACATGAATCATGACACTTGACCTGTCTTAGGAAAGAAAAAAGTGGGTTCAATATGTTGTGTGTCAGTGTAAGATTACATCATTCCAAAAGTTTCCAAAATTCTCAGTAGCCTTTCAGTTTAGTAAACTTAGCTGCGTTGTTGAGCCGCAGACTGAAAAAAGATGACATTTTTGTGGCTTCTCTACACCATGGTTTCTCAGCCTTGTCTGGCCTGAGACCATGTTTTTTAGGTCAGCAATTTCTCATGAACTCTGAACTTATTGAGTTGTCACATTGTCATGTGAATTGGATCTCAGCATACATTTGTGTTGTGTTTTTAATAGCACTGACAGATCTGATTTATCAGTTTTTCACATGTAGTGTCACACCAATGATTGAGAGTCTCTGCACTGCAGAATGACAGGCGCTAATGTCATTTTCTCTTTTTTGCTCCATGTTTTGCCATCATGAGGCAAATTAAGTAGAGATAAACAGGAATGACATGGAATACGAAGATGTGAAGTCAGAACGAAGACCACTGTTTCAACTAGGAGATATAGTGCTGGTTGGAAGACACAGAAAACGCTACTGAGTCCTTACCAGCCTTACCATCATAATGAATTACCCATCAAAGACCAATAAACATCTTTTCAACATCTCAAACAATGTTTATCTGTTGCTGGGGAGGCAAAGTCAAGCTAAAATGGAAAATTTTTGGAACTATCCTGTAGCGATTATTGATGAGGACAGAAGGCAAAGAATCATTACAGCCTACAATATCAAGAAAAATATCTTCAAGGCATTTATTGAACTGGTTCCACTTTCAGATAAAATCATAAAGAGAAACCCATGACCCTTTGTTGATGACTTGTTAACATTTTGCTCATAAATACCTGTTTTACTGCATCACATCTCAATAAATAACTTTTTTCAGCCTTCTTTTTTTTTTACATTAGATAAACTATAGGCTTCTCTACACATTCAGTGTACGTTGTTCATTGTAGCAATTGGAACTCATTGAATAATTACTGAATTGAATAATATCATCTGAGAGCAGTACACAACCAAGAGATAGACAAGATTGAAACATTTTCACAATCAAAGTGTCTCCTGAGTAAGGTCAATGAGGCAGTCAGAGAAAACTTCAGTGTTAGTGAGTTCTAGTAAGTTGAACACATTTCACAATTCATACCGCCTAATATAGTGCAGATACATTGTATTTTCTTTCCCTTCCTGTTGATTCAGATCCTCTGAGTCTGAAACAGGTGAATAATATCATATAAATGTTGTCAGTGAGTCACCTTATGAGTGTTGCTGTGTATTCTTTATTTGATCTTTTCACTCTCATGTCAATAGGATTCAATCAGTTTTGTGCCTTTGTATACCTTGTCCTTGGTCATGTTGAAAATTTACCCAGCAGAGCCAAAACATTGCCTTTTTTAGTCTTTTTCTGGGTTTTGTGAGCTTTTTTCTACTATAACGATAATCTTCCTTTTTTCTGTTCCTCAGAAAAACTTATTGTCTGCATGACGACAAAAGCATTGCTGGAAAATAAATTATACATACAATAAATTGTACATCATGTACTGCGGTTAAGTACAATTTCAATGTGCTTCTACTTTACTTGCGTATTTCCATTTTCTGTCACTTTATGCTTTATGCTCCACAACATTTCAGAGGGAAATATTCCACAATTTACTCAACTAGCTATGTATCTGTGTGGGTGAGCCATAGTTACATTTCAGATTAATACATTATATTAAAAAACATAGGATAATCTAAAATAGAATATATTGTTAAAGATTAAACCAGCGGTTTAATGGTGTCTGGATGGAATAGGATTTTCAGTAATGCTTTATATCAAGGCCAGGTAATAGATTAATTATATATACAGTATATTCAGGGATTTCAATAATATTTAACTTTTAGATAAAGGATAAATAGTTGCTTATTATGTAACGGTTAAATAGCAGCGAATTTTTATCTCATAAATATCAAATAAAGTTACTGTTGTAAATTAAAAAAGGAAGAAACAGAAAATATTTTAATGCTGCTAGCATGACCAGGGAAACAAGTGCAGTCACATTCCTTTTTTTTTCCTTCTTCAGGTTTATTATAGCAATAACAGTGCATAATGGCGATAAACACTGAAAACATGCCATGCAAGATCAGTTCTATTTATGGAGTAACTGGTGGGAATGACCGGGGTTGATTAGAGGACTGTTTTTACAGTAATGGTCTGAGTCCTTATTTTCTTGCAAATTTTTTTCTCCTAGTTTTCCACCTTCATTTTCTCAAGAACACAGTGAACACAATTTCAGTGTCCTGAGAGGAGGCCTGATTGGTGCTTTTAACAACTGCGTTTCCTCCAAAATGTCAACAGGAACTGACCTTTACAAGGTCTACAGTATCATCCTCATGATTAAAGTAGCAGCAGAGATCAGAGGCACTAAGGCATTTTTTTTTCTTTTTTCAAATCCTGGTGGAAAATTAAACTATAAGACTTCATACACAGCTTCTGGACAATATTCCAGCATCCTATTGACGTCCTCTGGGAAATAGACAACATTACACTGGTGCTTCTCCTGCCTTTTAATCCCAACTGTATTACCTTGAGGTGTTGAGACTTACCTAAGATACACATTGTCCAGCCCTGCTGCCATTGGTGGAAGAAGGACCAAGGACTGGCACACCAATACAACAATCTTAAAATACTCAATTACAAGTGAAAAAGTTATGTGCCTATAGAAGTAACAATATACTATATATTATCAGCAAAATGGAAACTTCAAAATGTGTTAATGTATCAGAACTACAAGTACTCTTTCTCCTGAAACTTTCTGACCCTTCTGACTGACATATCATTATATATGACATTATTAGATTGTTTATTGAGTTTGTATTTGCTTATTATTCTTGATGCATCAATGTGTCAGCAGCATTTTTACTGTTGTAGTTGCTCCAGGTGGAGCTAGATACAATCAGGGCCCTTCTCTAAAGGATCACAAGATGTCTAATGGGAAAAGAAAGAAGAACTACGAACCAGGTAAAGGTAAAAAGAAACACACACACATTCATACAATTGTATGAATCATCCATTTCTTGTGTGAAATATGACCACAACAACATTTATTCACAGGAGAGTCTCTTTTTTTTTCTGTGTCAGTTCAAGTGTCCTTAATAGGTCCAGAACAAAAACTGGATATTTACAGTTCCCAAAGGCATGTTCAGTTTGGAAGGGGCATCTTTGGGAAAATAAGACTATGGGCTTTTTTCAGTAAACACATTTAAACCTCTTTGTCTTACCATTTCAAAAGTGATGACTTATTTTGTTCTGTTTTGTATTTTATTTCATTTTATTGGATTTCTTTAATGGATCTGATCCACATAATTCCAACTTGGCACTGACACAACCGGTGTAACATACAATCAGACAACAAAATCTTTACAACACACTTGACTAATAAATAAGAATAAACTAACAAATACATACATAAAAATCCACGTCAATACATCTGAATACAACAGTTTGATGGTTCCTTTAAATACTAATGTAAATAAAACAGGAATCGTTCACCTCGCATTCTGTTCAGTTCAACATTTTACATTCGCGTCCACTTAATTCAATCCGCAGCAGCAGCCAGCGTCCATCCTGCCAGACAGAAATAGAGCCTAGTTTCTGATATGAATGTGTACACATGACACCCAGCTGTGTGTGCACGTGCGCTGCAGCTCGCCAACCTATTCAGTAAGGCCTTTGCGCACGTGAGGCTCATGCCGTGCTCGGGCGTGCAACCGGCTCTTTTTCTAATGAGTGATTGTGAAGAGTTTTTGGTGTTGAGCTAAAAATCCATCATGAAGTCTATTTCATCCGCCCGCTTTGCATGGCTGAGCCTGCCAGCTGCAGTGGTCAACTTCTGAATGAACAGTGAAACCTGCAGGACGCAAACACATCTGTAGTGTGTTCACTATTATCAAGACCAGCCCCTTGTAACTCGTTGAAACCTTCTAATCAAATCTGTTTCATCACCATCAGTTATGGTTTACAAGCAAAACTGACCTGTGTGAAAGCGTGAGTACATTTTTATTGTCACACACAGTGCATACAGTTTTTGTTTTGGCGTATTTACAACAATCATATTTCATATATTTGTCCTACTGTTTTGGGCACGCTAACCTATTTAGGTCTTTCGCCCCTTTGCCTCAGCAGGTGATGAGGTGATGTTTATAGCCATGATTGTGTTATGAACACGCACGGTTACATTATTCACTAAGACATTCCTAATGGATGCAGAAAGCGCTCAGCCACGTTTCACCTGTTGAATTATAACACCAGCACACTAAGACGTGTGATTGTCATGCGCAATTACGCACGCAGTCACTTTGACTGTGGACTACTAGAGGTACATCACTCCTACTGGGTATTTAACAAGCATTGCCGCAGTGATCATACGTGTAGTATTCTTACACAAAATGAGCAACTTATGTGCATAAAGCCCTGAAGCAGCTTCAATGGTTTCTCTGTAGAAATTAGACACATTACGCAAGCCTGTGAAGACAAGAAGCGCCGATGAAAGGAACAGTCTCAATGAACAGAATCTAGCAAATAGTCTCGAAATGACTTTGTTAGTCCTGATTGTGCTTTCTGACCGGTCTCCTCTCTCGCTCCATGCGCGTTCTATGTCGTGCGCTCCCGGTGCGTCTTGGTTATTGTTTGCCGACACATTTCGCGCTGCGTCCAATCATTCACACCGCTCCAAAAACTCTATCCTCTGTGAATCAGACCTCTCAGTTTGTTCCTGAACTCCTTCCTCATGAGGCAGTAAATAATCGGATTCAGGCAGCTGTTGGTGTGCGCCAGACAGACGGTCAGTGGGAACACATATGTGTGGACGATGTAATACGCTCTGTCCCAGTTTGCAAAGTTGAGCTTGACCAGCACACTCCAAAAGGTGATGGCATGGTTTGGCATCCAGCACAGGAAGAAGGACAACACGACGATGGTGACAGATTTTGTGACTTGGGATCTCCGTTTGGGGTTGCTCGTTTTCATACTCCGATTGCGGATGAAACGCAGCAGCATGATGTAGCTGATGGACACGATGGACATTGGCAAAACAAAACCTACAAGAATTTTTTGTATGTGATAAACTGCTAACCAATACTGTCCACCTGGGAACCTCAGCAAACACAGTTTTTCCCCAGTTACGTTGCTAACAGTTGAGAAGATAGACGTCGGCGCAGTGGCCAGAGTCGCCAGTGTCCAAATAATTGCGCAGATCCATTTGGCTGAACATGACTCCCGCGCGGTTCTGTTCTTCAGGGCAGAGGCGAGTGACCAGTAGCGGGTCACACTCATGGCAGTGAGGAAAAACACGCTTGCATACATGTTCATCACGGTGATGGAGAGGATGATTTTGCACATGGCGTCTCCAAACGGCCAGCTGAAGTCCAGCGCGGTGTCCACGGCCCAGAAGGGAAGGGTGAGAACAAACTGCAGATCCGTCACTGCCAAGTTGAGGACGAACAAGTTCACTCTGGACTTCTTCCTCTCTTTCTTCACCCTGATGAAGAAGAGGACCAGGAGGTTGCCCACGAGACCCGCAGCGCAGACCACCGAGTACACGAGGCAGATGAGGAATCTCAGAACCGGGCTCCCGTCAGCTGTAACGTCGATGTCCTCCAGGTTGCTGAAGCGGTCCATCTCCGTCAGCGACCTGTTCAAACACATGCTTGCGTTTTCCTCATTCATAATGTCAGCAGCTCACATACACTTCAGGATAATCTAGACTCCAGACTGTAGTCCACATTAAATTTAGACACAGACATTTAGATGCAGCTGGATCTGGGATTGCCACATTAGTGTTAAGTACATGATGCCATCCCAACTCCTCTATCTGTATCCACCCCACCCTCCTGTCCTGTCATCTCCCCCTCCTCTATCCCCCCAAGACGCATAAACATCCACCATCACTTCTCCGACAGTATGAAAGGAATGCTTCAACCCCCGTCCTTCATTCACTCAGTCCGGGGGTGGGGTTGAGGTGTTGATTGTTGAACATTAGATTTGATGCGTCCATCAGTCTTGTGCGTAACGGCGGCTCCTCGAAGCGTGAGGCCTCCCCATCACTTTTAAATCCAAGAATAAGCATCTAATCCATAACTTAAGATGTACGCGTTAAGTGCAGCTGGCGTCGCAGCCAGGAAGACACCGGTTGGAGTTGACAAAGCGTGCGTAATTGGTTTTTGTACCATAACAGCAAGGGAAAAGTTGATCACAGCGACTCTCTGCTGCCACCCGGTGTTCAGTTCTAAGTGTAACAGGCTGGTAAAATGTATCAGAGAGAGACCCACACCAACACACAGAGAAATAACAGAATGCATTTTATTACATCTAAACTTTTCTACATAAACAGGTAACATTCAATAAGTAAACAATTTCTTCCAATGCAGGTAATAAATATTTTTTTTTTCACTTGGTATATTTGTACAAACTGACGAGGGTCTACTGTACACTGTCTTCTCCTTTCCCTCCTTGAAAAGCCTTTTTATGATTTTTCTCGGATTGGAGCTGTGAAACAGAACCTGTGAATGTTTTAAGGCAGTGAGTGCAGATGTCGACTCGAGTCTGACTTTGAGATTATTTCAGTTGTGTGAGACTCTTTATTGGCCACAGTCCTTTTTTTTAATAATAATAATACAGCTTTCATTTTCTAAAAAATATATAAATTAATTTATTCTCTCGCTCTGAATTGACACACAACAAGCATACGAACGGACATCAAACACCCATGTTTGGATCTGAACTTTCAGTTTTCACGTTTCCATACAGACATAATATACACATTGTTGACTTTTCCCTTTTATCTAAGGTGAGACGTCATGCCAACCTAAGAGTTGAGCTGCTTTTCAAGGTTGCCTGTGGAGCTCTTGATAACACCATTAAGAGTAACTACTGATAAAAGTGGCCTTTTTCCATTCACTTCACTCTGTGCAGACGCTGGTTTTGTCCCAGTGTCCTCACACAGAATTCAAACCAGCAAATACATAAGATGCTGCAAAAAATGCTGTATACATACTACACACTTGTTTACACCTGTGTGTGACTGAAGTTGGAGAAGGACCGAAACGGCAACAGCCCTGTGCTTATCCATCCCTGCATGCAACCTGACCCTTTTCTCACAAAGAAGGCCCATTTGTTAGAAGAAAGGAACCCCAGCTTCATGATGACTGCTTCTACCTGAAACTAACAACTGGGAACCACAGGAGGGAGCTGTGGACACTTAATGAAACAATTTGTAGAGGGCAGAGCATCTGACTTTTTGGTAATCCCACATGGACCCCAGTGTGTAGAGCACTTCAATGGAAACACATTCAGAACGGTCTGTTCTCTCATTCCAGGTGCGTAACTGTAATATGCTGCAGTGAGGACGTCTAAATAAATTAACTGTGGCCACTTCATCAAGTATCCAAATACTGGATTAATATTTAAACTAACATGATGGAAACTAAAGGATCAACGTCTTCATCAGTATAGCAAGTCGTGGTAACAGTTCATAATAAAGGCACAAACACACATCTTCATGTGATTAGTTAAGACTGAATAAATTATCATTTCATGAATGTTAACTCAAAGTTACGTCATACATATTTCATTTGCCACCAAATTAGATGGAATCTGTAACCTTGCATTTTTAGATAATCATCATCATCATCATCATCATCATCATCATAGTCAGGTACAAGCATCTACGTTGCTGTGTGACCCAGTTGTCCTTGCTTACACATTTACAACCTAGCAAGTGATTATTTTATAGTTTTGTTGTTGTTGTTGTTGAAAGAAGCTGAATGTAGTAAGGAAAAGAGGTGTTTACATCGTGATGAACTCAGCCGTGCCAGCAGGTCACAGTCAATGGGATTCATCCCCAGGGGACCATGAATGTCTGTACAAAGTTTCATGGCAATCCAACTTTTAACTAGAGGTTTACTCTGTTGACTGCTGCAGCATGTTAATGTTTGCATCCGACTACCAGTTTGATAAAAAAAACAGATTCTTTTTCTGTGTAACTGGATTCCAGCTAATTTAGTGGCATTTAAATTAATGTTTGAAGTGTGACTTAATCATTAATTTATGATCCATTAAGAGTTTAGTAATCACATAAACAGTGACTCCATCACGCCTTAATGGTGAGCTGCAGGAATTCATAATATATCCTGAGTTAATTAATACATTATATCATCAGGAGTCATGCATGTATTAATTAAGCATGTGTTTTGTGCCCTTATTATAAAGTGCTTCTCGAGTCAGCCCCAAAGAAAATACAATAAGATATTTCCATGACGAATAACTAAACAATATCTTTTTGATATTGCGCGGCTGGCAAAGAATAATAAAATGGATATTAAATAAACTCATAACACAACAGCTGACTCACTCTCTCACCCATGGAAAGCAAACAATTTGTAAAAATATAATATATAGAAATAAGAATACAAAATAAATAAAATACTGCACAACACAGGAAATACACAAGACTTGTTCCGGCAAATGAGTCATTGAGTCAGAGCAGGGGGTTGATTCCCGTGAGAAGAACAGGGAATAAAAGTTAAAAATGCCAAAAGCGAGGGAAGGATGGAGGGAGAGCTGGGGGTCATTGTAGGTCGTCTAAAGTCTCACAGTTAGTTGCTGAGGGACAGGACAGGGGATGTTAGGTGACGGGGGTTGCTGTCAGAGGTGGTTATGTTTTTGTGGTGGGGATAATTATGCTTTAAAATGAGCTGCCTAACTCAGACATCCGGAGGTGAGAGATTGAGGAGAGACTGATAAGAGGGGACTCTGGGAAAGTTTCAAGGACACACAGGCTGGAGGAGAGGAGGGGTGGGGCTGACGGGACTGGAGGTGTGCCAAATCTACTGCACGTCACTGCTAATGTGACCAGACTTCATTGGATCTCCACAGCTTCTGTTCTGTTTAGTAACTGTAATGGAAGCAAGGAACAAAAGTGAGTCCGCTCTTAAAATTGTACAATACATTCATGAGCAAACCCTGCATTTTCAGCTGAATGGCAACAACATCGAGGTATCCTGAAACCTTCGCCTCACTTTAACACTTCCACATCTTACACTGACCATCTCTTAGGGTTTGTAAGTTCCAGACAGGTTGTGTATTTTTAAACCAGCTGGCTCTGCGCCCAGTCTAAGTTGGCATGCTCGGATCACCCCCTTCCACTATGGCACTAAATAGCCTGCTTACACTATTCTATGCTTTTCCACAAGCGCTTTTCCCAAATGTAACTCCCTACACAGTTAAAAATATCAGTCGCAGGTCAAATCTTCACAAACTGCTTAGACAGAGATGGGGCAGAGGTTGTGGCTGACCATTTAAGACATTCTTTCGAGTTTAAAAACTCAAAACCCAAACACGCTGTGAAGCATGAACACAAACAGGCACTAGTTTAAACTTGGTCACTCGCCCCAGTGGAGCTGTGGCACATGTCACAGACGCCTGTCTCTTTAAAAGGCCTGACGCTGCCATAACAGTTTGACCTCCATCGTAATTACTTGCAGTCAAGCAAAAAAAAAAAAGAAGATGAAACTGAGAAAACAAGAGACAAAAGGACACAGCTGACTGAAAACACTGTGGCAACAGGCTTATGCAACTGCACTCTGATTATTGTGATCATTTTCATAGGTACCGTACTTTTTTTTTTTTTTTTGGCATTGCGCAAAAAAATGAAAAAAAAAAAAAAAATAAAATAAAATAAACTCTTCTAGCTCAAAACCCTAAACTGGCAAGAATAAATATTCTAAAAGTCTCCATTTCTAAATGCTCTACGCTGCCAGAGTCTTTGTAGGGAGCTTGAAATCAAGGAGTGAAAAATTAAAAACCAGAAATGGCTAATTTCCGCTTACACACTCCCAACAGCATTAACCTGAAGGTCAAAGGGAATGCATATATATATAGTTATATACTATAGCTTATCCGTATAGTTATTCCGAAGTCATAATATGCGTTACCATATCAAATCACACACTATCCACTACATTACACTTAAAAGCATAATAAAATTATTAGTACATGAATAAACTGTAAATTCAGCATCTGAAAAGTTCTTGTCATTGGATAGAGAAATAATACACCATGAATTTAAAAATGAGCTCGAGCAGAAGAGAAAGAGAAAGGGGACAGAGAATTGAAGTTTATATCGGAGAAATGCAAATGGAAAATTTAAAGTAGATAGAGCTAAAAGAGAGGAAAAAGAAAACCACGTGGCAACAAGCATATGTATAAGCTTTTGTGAAAAAAAAAGAAACAAAAAAAACAAAAAACCTCTGTCCTCCACTTTAAAACAGCGATAGAAGCAGCTCACTAGACTGAAACTGTCCCGATTTAACATACAAAAGTAAAAGAGGAAAATATATTTTGTTCTCTGTACACGGTGCCACTCCTTGTTTTTGTAAAAAAGAGCCATCCTCCTTCGTGTTTTTGCTCAGGTAGCGTCTTTGCTGTTTGTGCCAGGTTGCTACCACAACAGCAGTAACGTGGGTTCACATGCTGGACAGGTTTCTGATCCGAAGTCAGTATACCAGCACAACGCTCACAGCTGACCCCTTTAAGTGATGACTTAGTACTGTTCTCAGGTCAGCCTAGTGAAGGGAACCCTCAGGCCTGTTACCCACTCATTATATTAGTGCTCTTCTTGAGTCTTGTCATTACGACTCCACAAACGTTCAATGACTCGGCTCCAGTTTAGTTTCTGGATCAAAAAATTTACCCTGCAGTCAAATAGTTTGCAATCGGGCTCGTTACTGGATCACAGCTGAACCCACAGTGAAGTCTTGACTCTTCTTGAGTCAGTCCAACGATATAACATCCGGTATCCCGCCGTAAATAGCTGCCACTGCTGCTTCAGTGCTGCTCCGGCTGGCCACCACTCCGGGGTGTGTGTGTGAGGAGTGTGAGCCCGAGTGTGAAGACGAGTGTGTGGAGTGAGTGTCACGGAGGCTGCTTGACGACACCAGGCTGCTGCTGCTGCCCGAGCTGCTTGCCCCGTTGGTCGGCGCAGTCAGCGAAGTGGCCGACGAGGCTCCCGACTGGTCGAGGAAGAGCTGGGAGGCGGAGGACGAGGTGGTGCTGTAGGGCAGGAAGCGGTTGAGAAGCAGCTCGTGGTCGTCCGAGGCTGAAGCTGCGGCCGCTGCTGCCATCACCATGTTGTAATGCTGAACCGTGGGGGACACATGACAAAGGAGGAAGTGTTAGTGGCGTGGGAGTCGTATTTCAGTCGTGTTGAGAAACTCCTGAAATCAAGCGGGTGCCAGTTTTTAGGCCTAGAGACTTTACACTGTGAGATTTTGGGTTGTCTGAGATGTCAGTTGACAACATTGATCTAAGATGATACTGAGGGATGTTCACCGACGGCTGATTCAGAGCTTTGGTGACCAAAGACAGTAATTTAGGACCAAATTCTCACAATGTGACTGCTGCTACAACCCATGTCTGCAAACCAACCAATCAGAGTACAACATGAAATGATGCAGAATTCACTGGGTAATTTTGTGATTGCAGTTTTGGAATAAAGACGTGAGCTGATGACGTGCCTCTGAAATCATTATGTAAAATTACTCCATCAAAGACTTGTAAGTATTGTACTTTGTTACAGTAACACATTTGTCAGTGTTTTTCAAACAGATTGTTAATGTTGAATTTGTTCTTCCTGCTCCTGTGTATTGATGAATATTTTATTTCACATTCATTCACATGGACAGGTCATCTGTCAAGCCATCACTGTGGAGATAATGAGTCGTGAAAGTGATGTCATCCATGGCAACAGGGACAACCCCACCCGTTTCTTATCTCACTTCCTCAGTGAAAGTTCATCTCAGCAGCTTTGTGAACAGGTCGAAAGAGGAAACTCTGAGCTGAGAACATTTTGTGCAATTTAACTTCAAAGATAAGATACTTTGTGAATATGGCTCCGGTTTTCCAAACACAAGAATGAAGACTGGACATGAGAAGCTCAACAGCAGCAGCTCAGGCTATTAATTCCTGACAGTACCCATTGAATGACAACATCAAACAATTTTAACATTTTGAGATAATCTATTCATATTACAAAAAACATATACTTAATAACCTCCAGTGATATTACTTTTGTTTTTTTTATTTGTCTGGGTTTTGAGATATCCACATCTGAATTCTCCCTCTGCTCTTTAGAGCTGCTCTGCTTGTGGCATTAAAAAACATGACATTTAAAAAATTAAACAGCAGCTTCTTTCCAGAGGCAATGCCACTGTAAAACAACAGAAAATGCTGCCTCCTGTCTTCATCAGGGCTCTTTCTAAAGGAGAAAGTAATTCCAATGATAGCTGTTCACTGTGAAGTCTGTTGACGAACCAGAGTAACAGGGGTTTCGATTCTAGACACGTAGTTGCTGTTGATTTGTTCTCTGTAATTTTTCAGTACCGTGGGAACAGTGAGTGTGAATGAAATCCACTTCATCCGCACTGTATTGAGGTGGCAGCAGAAATCTCAGAGGCAGATACCTCAAAAACTAACAATATGAACAGCTGGATATTGCACCACTCAAGCGAGAAAATGTTTTGTTTTTTTTTTCTGTAATTTGGGAAAACTAACCCTTTAAAAAGAAGATCAGAATTAAAGATGAAGATATCAGAAATCAAGAGGCATCTGCATTCATATTTGACTCCCTCAGTGAATTCAACCCACCAGTAACTGTGGGGGGACAACTGTCATTTGTCAAATGTCTCGCTCTCGTGTTTCCTTAAATAGCCCGTACAGACTACCGCCTGTGCCTCATAGACGTTGAAACAAGTACACTGTGTACTGTGTAACATTTTATACGGGTAATTCCACCAAATACCTGGATTTTTTTTTATCTTAGCTGTTTTGACTTGGTATTTTCCATTCCCTATTCCATCACTATTCTGTTTGCTGCAAAGAGGAAGTTTTTTTTTATGCTTTATGCTATGCTGTGTGGCTTTTCCCAGCTCCTGTGTTATTTTAAAACTAGCGGTGAAAACAAAAGGTAAATTCAGCATCTCCACATAACACGATGCGCTGTCGTACGTACCTGATGATTGTCGCCTTGAAGAAAAGAGAAGAAGTTCAACTCTGAAAATCAAGTACAGGAAGTGGTAACAATTCAATGACAATGAATACCAATAATTCAATTTAAGACATTACACAGATTCTACTTAACATTAAGCCACAGCTTTGCGAAGTGTCCTAAACTTCAGCCCTTCCTGTCTGCTATTATTGACATTGTCCCACAATCCATTACTTCTAATCTAGAACCAGACACTACTTAACATCAACAGCGAGTCTTACTTCATCTCAGAAACTCCTCCCTTCCTACCGCCTCATTAACTAACGAGTGGAATTTGGGTGTGTTAAGTTGATGGGGAAGGATTATCTAGACTCCTTGCTGCCTTTCTTCCTCTTTCCTTGTTCCTAGTCTTTTCCATCCTCGTTTATTTTGTTATTTTTTTGTCATTAATGTAGAGATGAATGTGCTTGGTAAAGGATGAATTCAGAAGTAAATACATTACATACAATACAATTGTAAATACATGTATTATGTATTTGAATGCAATATTACTTCTAATTTGTTGTTTGGAGCAATGAACTCGCTCCAGTGAATACTCCCAAATCATCTTGAGTCTGCACGTGTTTGTTATTACCTGACAGGTCGTTGGGGGTGTGGTAGTAGGGTCTATAGTCTTGGATAAGGGGGGGGACAGGAGGGATGTAGCTGGTGTCCATCGCTGGCATGCTGGGAGTACGGCTCACAGGAGAGGCCTGGTGGTGCAGGTTCAACACTCTGAGGGCAGATACAGAGGAGCAGGAGGTAAAGAGGCCACTTCTTTTATAATTAGACTTTTATTTCATGTCAAATTTATCAGGTAAGTGTCAGGAAGTTCTGTGTCCTGCACTGAGATCGGAACGCAAACCTCTGAACATAAACAGTCAGGACTCATTCAAGTCAAATGAAGCAGCAGCAGTTTCTACACAGATGCACATACTGAATTACAATTTGACCATAAATACAGCTGTTAAAGTTTCAAATCCTGAATAAGATATGTTTCTTTAGCTCAAAGTTTGAGAGGTGAGAGGTCAAGCATTACATTTTTACAGTTTACATACATGTGAAATTACAACTGGGCAAACATTAATCCTCTCGATGAAAACAAACAGTTTTAGTGATGTTGTTTTGGAAAGTCGCTCACTTTGAGATCTATCAATTTCAAAAAAAGGAGTTAAGTCACACATGTTTCTCAGTCAGCACTCTGCCTACTGTGAGCACTGTTGATGTGGAATAATAAAAGATACTTGTATGTGTTCGAGTGCAAAACTCATGAATCATTCAACATCCAAATGCAAGCAGCTAAAATGAGCCTCATTTCCACATTTAATGAAACCCAAACAGTCTCGGGTTATGTGTCTGACCCTTTGTTGATGATGGGCGGCGAGGTCGGGGACATAGATGGACATGCCCTTTTGGGCGGAGGAGGCAGCGGCGCTGGCTGCGGAGGCGGGGAATCCTGCCCTTCGTCGTCTGAGGAGCTGTCCAGTGTCAAGTCGATCACCTCCACTTTCTTGCTGTTGCTGCTGTCGCCGCCGCCGTGGCTGGACGATGACGAGCTCCGCTGGTCTGAGCCTGCAGACGTTCGACATGAACCTCGAGAGCAGCAGTGACAGACCAGTTTGCGCTTGTACGAATTTTTTTGAGAAACACATCTCCCCTGCTCTCATATGAGATACAGTATGTTTGTTACTATGGAGACAGGCAGTTTACTCAAAGGAATTATGACTGATGCTTCACCAAATTAAATCTGACAATGCATAAACAAATAAGGAGGGGATGTAAATACACCCTCCCTCTCTTCTAACCATGTCTCTTTAATCCTAATTTAATCCCTTCCAGCCTCTTGGCACTGCCTTAATGTAAAAGCAACCTCTCTGTTTCTTAACCGCACCCTGTCCCCTTTTATCCCTTATGCCTTGTCTTACCATCCAGCCCGTTGTTATAAGAAGCAGAGGACACCTCCTGCACTTCTTTCTTAGACCTCATGGGGGCCCAGGTGCCATCTTCCTTAAACTGGATCTCATCACAGTCCATGCAGCTGTTGAGGATCTCCACAAAAAGCCTGAGAACAAACAAACACACACACACACACACATCATACACAAACCCATCCACAATGTACACAAACACACACACAAATTGGTATTTTTTAACGAAGGCTGAGCGACGTGGAAAAGAGGCTACAATTTAAATTCTGAAAAACATGAAACCCACTCTAAACAGGGTAACATCAATGCTGTGCTGTAGTGGTGTCTCTGCATGAAACACTTGATGGACCACTCCACCGAAACATCAATCTTTTGAGATCAAATTTTCTCCCACTGCAGGCTTCAAATGTGGCTGAGTGAGTGATGTGAGTCTTTGAAACATACTGAAAACATGCTGCAAGAGTGGTCTGAAAAGTTTTTACCAACCTTTTTGATGCATTTTCTACGTGACCCAGAGTTTCTGTTGTCAATGCAATACAAGCCTTTCAGAACCAGATTTTTCTTCAAATGTCTACACATATTGAAATTTTAACAAGTTGTCTAAGTGTTTCTGTGGAGCTCTATATTTCTGAGATTGTACATGTGGTACATCGGTTATAGACAGGTGCAGCTATTTCCTCTCAAAACACAGAATATGAACTCTGTGGGGACAGGCATGAGGATGTGCAAGCAGCAATCATTATAAATAACCATTTTAAAAGATTATCTTAATCAGTGTTAAAAGTGAAAGACAGGAGTCAGTTTAGATCAGCGAGTATAACAGCTGACAAAATAAAAATAAAATAAAATAAAATAAAATAAAATAAAATAAAATCATTACTCAAGGTTCACTTACTGCACTGAGACTGCACACAACAAAGTCCAAAAGACAAATCTGAAAGCTCCAGCAAAAAGCTAGAGAGACGACCCTGAGCTGAGATTAGTTTCCTAAAACAACTTTTTCCAAGGTCAAGAATAAACTTACATGACCAACTGCTAATTTCACTGATTGGAGGACTTGGTTTCTCAATCAGTTTAAAGGAATAGTTCAACATTTTGGGAAGTAAACTACTTTGCTTTTTCAGCGTTGGATGAGAAGATTGAAATCACTCCCATGTCTGTGAATATAAAGCTACAGCCAGCAGTTGTTATCTTAGCTTAGCTTAGCATAAAGCCTGGGTGGGAGGGAAACAGTTTGCCTGTCCAAAGGTAAGAAAATCCACATAACAGCACCTCTAAGCTCACTGATGAATGCATTATATCCCATTTGTTTGATTGGTACAAAAACCTAGATGTAAAAATGACATGTTATGGTTTGATAGAGGGTTATCTGCGTAGATTATCTGCTATCTATGCGCAGTGACTTCCTGGAGTAATGTTGTCACAGTGACTGTCAACAACAAAGTGAAAAAGAATATTTCCCAAAATGTCAAACTACTCCTTTAACCGGAAGCTGGGGGCTGGGTGACTTACCCGTCGATGATGAGGTGTTCATAGGGGGCCTTCTTGTCACAGACAGGACACACCCAGGTGGGTTTCTTCTCATTCATCTGGATGTAGAGTGTGGCGTCAAAGCACTGCAGGTGTGAGCATGTCAGTGCCCGGCATGGGATCATCAGCCGCATCTTCCCCAGCTGCACACACAAGTAGTCAGGGCATGAAGATGACGCACACAGCAGGGATGGAGAGCATGCAGGATGCATGAATGGCATAAACATGCCAAACCCACATGGAAAAGATACATGATACGGGTTGAGAAGATGATTTGACTTGAGGATCATGCATTCAACTAGGAGTTACGTGCATGAAGGCATGTTGAGTCACATACAGATGTGGAAAAAAGGAAAACAATGGACGGACATGTTTGGGCATGACTGAATCTCTAAACAGTGCCTTAAATTCATGAAGAGCAGGGAGCATGTTTACCGGGCAGAGCAGCGACACTCGAAGGCTGGTCGTGGCTATTTCACTGTCTGGGTCTGCTGTTAGCTTCTCTTTGACTGCAGAACAGAGGCAGAACACACAGACGTCTTAGAAACGTGCTTAGTTTATCAGATCAGACTGTAACTCCTTTACTACTTGTTTCAGACCAAGGTCAAAAATAAAGCTCCTCATGCTGAATCCCCTCCGCACCTGAATCCTCTGACATCACTTCCCACGCGGTATAAAACATGTATAGATAGATATATAAAATGTCATTCATAATACAGTGCTCCCTCAACAGAAATGGGAAGCAATTTGGCAATCTGACTGGATGAAGAGCTTATCAAGATAGACTCCTTAGCTGAGAACACAGTCTCATACATTGGAAGTATTATTGATTTCTACCAAAGATAAAAAGTTATGGTGCAAGAAACACATTTCACTTCCAGCTTCTTTTGCTCAAACAGACACGACGTTACGAGCATTCGATGTAGAATTATCAAAAAAAAAAAAAAAAGGAGTAAAACTTACAGTCCAGCTAATATCTGAATTGATTCTAAGACCATTGACACACAAGCAGGTTGTTTTTATATTGCTGGGATGCAACAATTTGACTTTTTCTCCCAATACCAATTCCAATAACTCAGAGCATCTACTCATATTGATTCAGGATCTTTAAGACATGTATACATCACAGTGTGAAAGTCACTGGGGTCATGTTGTCATGTGGACAAAAGTTATATACAGAAGTTTTTTTTTTATATATATATATACAAAAGTGTTGCATTTAGTCTGGTTGTCTATTGGAAAAGTTAATAGAAAATCTGAAAATTATAGTGGAACAACTGAATTTTGTAATGAAACTGTATTAAATGCCAATCAGTTTGAGTATTGGCCCTGATACTGATCTAGAACCTTGGATAAGTACATCTGGAAAAAAGAAGAGGTTGACGGTCCTTACTGAGTGCCCTGGAGTGGTCTGGGTTCCTGATGCCTTTTGCCCGTAGTCTCTGTAACAACACTGTAGACGACTGCTGCTTCACCAAGTACACTGCCATGGAGTAACTCTGTGGACAATTCATACAATAATGTAATAATGTGCAAACTGACACTTTAAATCGCACATTGAGACATTTTTGCTCGCCAGTGTCTGAGTTCTGGGCGAGTTACAGAGACTGTCCTTGAACAGTATTACTCAAGGTAACTTTCTAATGTAAAGTCAATCCTCTGAGCCAAACGTATGTATGTGTAAGGAAGAAAAGAGGGAAATAAAACTTGTGCATTGTAAACTGACATTTGAGGCCAGTATGAACTTCAGCTGTGAGACTTTTCCTTTACTGCCCTCTACTGCCTGTCTGCAGATGGTGGGTCAAGCTCCACTCAATATAAGTCAGTATATGAGAGAACAGACTAGTTTCAGTTAAATTAACTGATTTATTTGATCTAAAATGTTTCATCAAAGGCTGATTTAATCAATAAGTGTGCACTCATCCTCGACTCACCCTGCATTTGGACCACACAAGGTCATAGGGGTGTTAATTGATATATTAATAACTTGTGAAATTAGTATATTTGGTTGGATTGAAGAAGATTAAAAAATATGCTCAATTAAAGACACGAGAGTGACCAAAGTAATGTTAGACATTGAACAGAGAGAAAAGCAAGCAACTCTTCATATTTGAAGCAAATATTTATATATTTATACTACTATACAACTTATAAAGTATTAAAACTGTCGCCATTCATTTAGAAGTTACATGAGGCTTTGGTTCTTACCCTCCCAATCTCAGCGGTCCACGACACCACAATGGTATTGGGGACAGTGGTGGACAATCTGACCAGTGAAGTAATGTTGATGGGCCGGCTGGGCCGCTTGGGCTCTACACCGTTTTTGGTTGGAGGAAGATAACCCTGGGTAACAGAAAAGAGTATTAGAAACATTACGATTCTCATCAGGGTTTAAAGCTCTCACGTGCAGAGTCACTCGATTATGTGGTTAATTCATTGCTCCTCACCGGCAGGTTACATGGCTTCCCGTTGACTTTCACACACAGATTGGGTGGGAAATGGTCTTCCTGAGGACAGCTCGTCTCCGACAGGCAAAACCGCAACTGAACTTGAACAGAGAAGTCACATTTGGTCCCCGAGATGTCCCTTTGAGGACGGACACAAGTTTGTTACAACAAATCTGCAGGAACCATGTACATTCATGAATTATTCATAAGCCATTCAGCATCCTGCGTTGAGAGGGCGGCCTTACATTGAGCTGCTGATCTGCTGGACTTGCTGTGGTGTTAATGCAAAAGCAAAACACGTCTCCTGAAACCGCTGGCTGTTGTCTGAAGCTACAGAGAGAGAGAGAGAGAGAGAGAGAGAGAGAGAGAGAGAGAGAGAGAGAGAGAGAAAGGGGATGGAGATTTTTAAGAAACTTTAAATACCTGAGAAAATGACATATAAAAACAAGAGGGAATGATGTTTTTCTTTCCTGGCCAGTTATAAAAAACAAAACAGTGATCCGCAGTTATTAAGATCAGGAAAACCAAACCTCTGAAAATAAACAGTTTCAATGCACAGATAAGCATGAAAAATGCAGAGAGTGACGCAGTGTGTGCACAGCAGCGTATAAGTGGGTGTTTCTTGCAGCTTGTGTGCATAAAATTTTCAAAAGCTCAAGAACACCTGGACGTCAAAACCACACCACCCCACACAGAGGTGAAGACGAAGAAGAAAATGTGTGTGTGTGTCTGTGTGTGCGCACACTCTATTTATAGGCCAACCCACAGGTGCTGGAAATAACTGGTGCAACTAACCCAGCCCCCATTAAAGAGACAGCAGGTTCACAAAGGCATGGAAAGTTTGTGTGTGTGTGTTAGCAGAAGGTTAGCACGAAACAAGGAGCTATGAGGGCTCAAATCTGTTTTGCATTTGTATTTAAGGAACACTTGAACATTTTGGGAAATATGCTTCTCAACGTTCTTTTCATTTGCTGGATGAAAAGATCCAGACCACTCTCGAGTCAGTGCGTTCAGCATGAAGCTAGAGGTGGGGGGCGATCAACTTAGCATAACATAAAAACTGAACTAAAGGGCTCTGTAACTCACTTATTAACGTATTACATCTTGTTGGTTTCATCCATATTCAAACAGAACCCAAATCTGTCATTTTAGTGCAAGTTATGTGCTGGAACAATTTCTTTTTAGACAACAGTTTATGCTTTTAGAAAATAAAATTGTAGCAATGTTAATAATGAACCTCTAAATTATGTCTAAACAGTACTGTATACTATTCATGACTCTCCACCAAGATCCATCATGTAAGAAGACAATGTTCTGTTGTGTAGGTAAGTATAATGAAAACAAAGCTGATAGTCTAATAATCTTTCATTTAATAGTGTTTTGAAATATATAATGTGTGTGTGGGTGGTCTTTTGAAAGTCGGTGGAGTGTTACAGAAAAAAACAAACCATGTCGACAGTTTAATCTGTTAAGGCCAAAACCGGTTTAACATATAATGCACATAAATGCAAACACGCTTGGCCACACCACATTCATTCATGCCACATCATTTTATTGTCAAATTTGCAACTAATCATAGGCTTAGCTTTCAGGAGCGGTGATGTATGTGACAAACAAACAGGGTTGACTAACGTCCGTCTCTGCAGGAAACTGTTTTGTTTCGAAGGTGAAACCAGCTAAAATCTTCTCCACTGAGCAAAAGCTTTCAGCCTTTACCACAAGATTGCTTCTTACACTGGTGAGTAAGCATTACAGAGTATAGCTGCTGTTGAAACAGTGTAGTATTTTATAGCCTTTGTAACATTTTGTGTCTGAGTAGAAATCTTTTGGCCTGAAGGCTGTGTAAATGAGAGGGGAAGATGAGTCAAAGAATTACCTGTTATGAATCATGATTGTTGCTGTTCGTGAGTGACAGCTGTGCATGCATGATGGTGCAGATAACACACACACACACACACACACACACACACACACACACACACACACACACACACACACACACACACACACACACACACAGCATCAAGTACATAGAGGTAATTTCTTTCCATGTAAGGTGTTGAGGGGGACAAAGTCTACAGTTCCTGTGGATAATTATTGGACCAATCATTTTCCTCCTCTCATCAGCCTTTCAAACAGCCATTCATTTTCCCAGTAATGACCCATTTCACCACCCACATGGTATATAATTTGTATGGCTTGTATTTATCGTATGTTTCTGTCCCTGCATCTTTTGAGTGGCAGCGTGTGTACTGCAGAACAAAATCATGAGCATCGAGTGTGCTTTCGAACAACAGTCTTCCTCCTCTCCGGGCACTCTGGCTATAAATAGAAAGTGCTCTCTCTTTCTCTCTCTCTCTCTCACTCTGTCCTCGCTTGCTCTCTCTCTTTCTCTCTCTATAACTCTGTCCTTGCTTGCCCCCCCCCTCTAACTCACTCTCTCTCTGTGGCAGTGGATTTGTTTCTGGTGTTTCAATGTGTGTGGTGAGGAGAGATATGAGAAGGGCTGAAATGAGCTTTGATTGATGTCTTCCTCTCTCTCTATCTCTCTCTCACACTCACATTAACACATGCTCGCACGTACATGCGCACCCTAACTTACTTTTACCCTAATGCACATGCAAACTCCCAAAGTCGTATCTTTGTGATAATAAAACTAAGGCTTGATATGAGTCTATTTCCGTAGCAGAAGTCTAGAGTATTGAAAACTGTCAAGTGCCGAACCCTGGAGTTAAACGCTCAGATTCAAGGTCTGATTTAAATCATAATGTTGTCAAATGTATACTGTATTTTATTTAGACAAAGTTATAATGAGGCTGCTTATGATTAAAAAAAAACCCATATATGAATAGTTCCCTTTCATTTAGCAGAGAATTAGATGAGGAGGTCAAAAACATTCTCATAATTTGTCGGTTAAATATGAAGCTCCAGCCAGCAGATGGTTAGCATGAGGAGTGGAAACAGGGGGAGACAGCTAGGCTGGCTCTGTCGTACGGTAACAAAATCTGTCTGCCAGCTTCTCTAAAGCTCATTAATTAACATGTTAGATCTAATTTGTTAAATCCACACAAAAACCAAAGTGTAAAAAAAGACAAGTAGTGATTTTACAGGAGGGTAATGAGCCAGACTATTTTTGGGAAGTTTGTTCCCCTTTTTATTGTATTTATGCTAAACAAAGCTAACTGGCTGCTGGCTCCAGCGTCATATTGAGCGGTGAGAAAGGTTTAATATAGAGGTATTGTAAGGTATCCTACCATCAAACCATTCAGTGACCCCTCGTGTCCTATGGACAGAGGCATTGTCACCCTCTTTCTCTACTAATTTTTCAGTTTTTTTTCCTTTAATTTACTGATGGAAATAATTTTTTGTGAGATTTAGGATTTAAGCTGGTGCTACATTATGGGACTAGAGCTTTTCGAGCCGTGTGCTGTATGACACTGGATGAATATTGGTGTGATTGCCGGACCATACAGTGGTGGTGTAATCATTTTCTGAGGTAAAGGAATGACTCTGACAGACCTACAAGTTTGTCGAATGTGATATTGTAAATTAGTCGGCAAATACTGACAAGATTATGGTGATTTTGGACTTTTGCACTGTATATGTACAGTCTGTACTATATGTGTGTGCTAAGAAACAACGACTATGTAACTTACCCTTCCTTATGTATGTATATATATATATATATATATATATATACACACACACACCCATGTATCCTTATATAAATCTAAACACACACATATAGAACATCGGTCTCATGTACTTTACAATCCATTCACTGACAAAATATCACTAAATATACTGTTGGTATTGTATTGGTGCCAAAACAAAAACAGTATCAGTATAAAAAATTTTTAAACCATACCCAGAAAGCCAAAAATAAAAATACTGTCACACAGGAAAAACACATGGGCGAACAGAGAACTGGTAACAGAGACAGATAGTAAATCATAATTTACTTTGGTTCAAAATATCAGAATGGGCCTGATTAGTTCAACCAATCAGCAAATCTATCATCTGCTAAATTTGGGTAACTAACATAGAGGAGTGCAGGCTAAAGGTTGGGTAAGCAAAAGCAGGTTTGAAATATCAAGTATCTTATTTTGATGATCCTTGTTTAAGTCTTTTCTCTTCAATTTTAAAAGTGTTGCACAAATATTTTTGCTTTTTACTTGAGTCATTATAAAGCATAAAGTTTACTACACAACATACAGAATAATTACAATAAATGAAGTCTCTACTTCACTGAAAGAAGACACAAAATTAATGACACTGTGAGCAGGATTGTAATTACTATTATTAAGCACATTTCTGCCACTGCATGTAATCGTATTTCTGCTTAGTGGTGCTTATTAGAGTATGAACATTAATAAATCACTGGGACATTAATTTTGAGGCACAAGCCTAATTACAACAAAGAAATAAGAGCGTCTATCAGCACAAATCTCCAACCGAGCATCAAGGAAGTACTAAGAGTTTGTTCTGACTTAACTTCACCGCTGATGAGGTGCAGTCATCACAGGACAGAAGGGCAGCTGAGGTGACATTTCACAAGGGTGTGAAGTGGATAATACAGAGTTTATGGGGGAAAAAAGTGCTTTCCAAGCTGTCTTGAAGAGAATGGACTTCTTGAATGGATGATTCTTTTCAGTTTGTGATGGACTGTCTGTGTTAAATAGTGCATACTGAGAAAGCGTCTTGGTGCAGTGACTGTATAGCATGAAGACCTGCAGACTCTCTGTGCTTCGTGGGATGTGGTCTGAGGGCTTGAGACCCCTGCTGTGCTGTGCTTCACATTGTTTTATACTATTTTATACTGAAAGACAGATGGTGGGAAGGGTAACAGACGGGTTGATACCTCTAATGGGTTGATGTTTACACTGAAGAGGAAATAAACTAAGGACAACCCAGAACATACAGTCAGTTGCCACTTAATTAGGTATCATATAAACAGCTGTACTGAGAGGTATTTCTAATATTTTTTCCACCCCAATTAGAGAAAATCGTCAGGTTAATTGATAATGAAAATGATGGCTTGTTGCAGCCCTAGTTTGTAGTGCTGTTGAATTGTATTTGGTTATACTAAGTAGTGTTTCTAATATTTATTTCATCCGTATTGATATAAATGAATAATAAATAATTGAAACACGTGTCAATAAAAGAGTTTCACCTAGTTGAAACTTCTAAACTGCAAACTGAGTGTGACACCTTTAAACATTTCTCAAATTTGAATAAATATTCAAATGAAAAAAGCCACGATCACTTCAAACATACTATTTTGAAGATGTATAATTTTGTCAATCTCATTGAATACAGGAGACACTGGG